CCACTCACGCGTCGCCGTGAATCAACATCAAAGCAACCACCATCAATTTGAACCAGGTTTGTCTTCTCAAACCCTAATTTTAAATTTGTCATCTCTAGTGTGTGATTTTGTTTTGTTATTCTTGATTAACATAATATTGGATTTTATTAGTTTAAAATAAATATAAATAAAATAGACATTACAATTACTAGCTTTGATATGAATAAATTTGTTAATACCCACCCATCAAAGTAGTACAAGTAACAGCATTAATCTCATAACACAGAGAATCACTGCTCTCAGTCGCCGTGAAATTTGCATATCCTCCTCTCTTTGCTCCAACTCTCCAAACGACGTCGTTCCTCCCCAATCCATTCCCATTTCAAGGTACCACTACTCTATCAATCATCTCCAATTAATTGTTTATAGAATAATCGATTTTATCATAAAATTGAGTTTAAGTATAAGCTAGTTGTAAGTGTAATTGTTGTTGATGTGTATTTATAGGATAATTCAAGATCAATCTCAGGATTCTGATGCTATGCTGAAAAGGACTTTTGTGTCACCAACAAGACGCCTAATAATGGCGAGTTTGTCTTTGTATTCTTGTTTCTGTTCTTCAAGGTACTTCTCAGGTCCGCAGGGTTCTGTTTTCATGTTTCAGTTGTTCTGATTGTGTATATAAACAGCTTTTAATTGAGCTTAATTTCATAGCTTATTGGAACATATGATATATGATATAACTTATAAGCACTTTTTTGTAATTGTTTGAAATAGTTTTAATATATAAGAGACTAATTTGACACTTTTTTATGCTTAAGAGACTAAATTGATGTAAAAGTGTAATGGTCTTAGCGTTTGTTTGGTTCTGCGGTGAAAAGATTGATTATGAGTGAATTGATTTTGGTTAAAAGTAACTTGAATGTAAAGTGATTTATGTTTGGGTTACTTTATGCAAAATTGAGTTGAACAGTATATTTAATGTAAAAAACAAGTTTAAACTTAAAAATTACAAATTCTAGCTTCAAGTAAAATCAATTTTGAAGGCATGTCAATTCTACTTTAGAAGAATCATACACCTCTAGAATTGTTTTTGGCTTTCCAATAGCTAAACCAAACATACACTTAATGTTTTAATAGTTAAAGAGCCAATATGAAGATAATGTTTTGAAACTTTAAATTAAGTTAAGAAACTTCTAAAGTGATTTTTCTTATAGTTTATGATCTGTCCATAAGCTTTTCTTAACTTATTTTGATAAATTATAAAACACCTCATATAGAACTTATGCAGAGTTTACCCTTATTTCTTTTTCGAAAATGCAGAAGTAATTTGTAGATAATACTTGTATGTTAAATGTATCATTAAGTTGTTTATCCAAACACTCCTTTAGATTCATTTAATGTAAAAAGCACTTATATTTGTATATAGATAAATTTATAAAAGCAAGCAACTCATGATGAAATGTTCATTTCAACTTACTTCAATACGCTTCTCATTCATGTAACAGTCTATTGAATTTGTGCTTAATCAATTTTTTAATCCCATAACAAACTCTAAGTATATTGGGAAGTTCATTTTAAACTTCAATTTGAAGGGTCAATGTCATATAATTTGATAAATGCTGATGACATGGATCATTTCTAGTTTGGTCAATAGTATTATTTATGTCATAAATTGCAAAAATGAAATTGGTAGAGTAATAGAATTTTGAGACCTATATTATGTGATAAAACTTGTTATAGTGTGACATGCCCAAGAGAGAAAATTTGGTGATTTGAATGACCCGTACGCAGTTACTTGATTTGTTTTGTATTTAATCAATTTTGCGGATGTATTGCACTTTCAGTAACCAGAAATATAACATTAAGTCTGACAGTGATTTATTTTTCCTAGCCCGCTGAGTAGTTTATTTTGCCATTTGCAAATTCTAGCAATTTGTGCTGATAGGAAATCTTGGATATGCAGTGGTGAAAGTGGAACTTTTGAAGGTACTAGTGAAGGAAGTGATGCAAATTCTCAGAATGTAAGTTCTGTGATGGTCATTTACATATTTTTCTATAATTAATAACAAGTCCTATGATAAAAATATAAACTAATTTGCTCTCTTGAAGGGTAAACTTGTAAGAACAATTTCAATTGTTAACAAATTTAATACTACCACCAACTCTCTTAATTTCTGTGATTTAGTCAACAATAGTCCTATATTTAAGAATGTAGATAGTATTTCCTAATGTCTTTATGTTTTGATAGGGCTCTCAATGAAATCTGGAGACAGGCAGGATTCTTTCGAAGGTTTGGCATTGTTACTTTCTGTTGTTCCAATATAGTTTCTAATTTTTACTATCTAATTTTATATGCAGTGCAAACTCATGTTATATATTTATCTTTAATCAATAATTACCTCGGAAGTGTAAATTTTTTTGCACTGATAAAAACTTGTAAAATATTTATATGACCGCATACCATTATGTCTGACTAACATAAAGATATGATCTACAGCAGAGACTTGAGGAACAACCCAGTAACGATCAAAACATTGGTAGCGACACTCAACAGAGTCATTGAGGGCACTTGTCAAAGCAAATAGTCTTGAAAATGTAGTTGAACTCATTGAGGGTTCCATGGAGGATATTAGTTGTGTTTGGAAGGACCAGCCAGTCAGTCAGCCACTGTATACAGGCCAAAAGAAAGGTTTGTTTCCTGCAAAAGGATCATGATTTACATACATATTTGGATAGTTATTAAACATATTTACATAATACATCTTGCTGTAGATTGTGAGCTTGGAAGATTTAGTGTCACTCTCATGCAACATAACTTATTTTATGGTATTTTTTTAAACATTGAAGTGTATCTATGTAAATACACCTTGTATTTTTTTAAGTGTGATAGTATATATATGCTGATGACCATAAAATTTAAGCAGTAGTGAGTGTAATGTCTTCTATTTACAGCAGAATGCAATATGTTGTTAGATACAATGCCAATTACCTAAGTAACTTAGTTTAGATATCTAGCTCGGTTTTACAGAAATGAGTGTTAGGCTAACTTTGAAAATTTAAATTTTGTAGCCGCTGATGCTCATTGTTCCTGATGTCCAAGATGTTTATACTCCTTTGCAAACTGATGTAATTGTTCCACTATATGTGGTTAGAATTACTTCTTAATAGTTTTAGATGATTGAGGAGAAAGAATCTTTGTTAAAAATCCTAATTCCTGCATGTTGTAGGCAGAAGAACAAACTTGTTCCTTAGACAATCAAATTTTGACATACATTTTAATTCTATGATTATATTTTATACTAAATAATAATGAATTATGTATTATGTGACAGCAAGAAATTATGTATTATGTTACTATATTTTTTTATTTGCCATTATGAATGTGTTGGTGCAAACTTTCAAGTTCTGTGATATTTGGATTAAGCATCTCTTTTCTTTGTTTCATTAATCCCGTCTGCTTTTGATTGTTGTAAGGTTGTGGATGCCAATAGCTCGGAACTGGTACATACTTTTACACCATTTCGTGAATCACAAGATGAAAATGATGGATTATCAAAAGCTGAACCACCCATCACAAAATTGTGTACTAGTTCTGATAGACAGTAGTTGGTTGTCGTGAATTGCTTTAGGGATATATATGTATTTAACTTGGAGACACTAAGGTATTTTTCTAATTTGCTCAATTTCTTTTTAATTGAGACACTTACTACTTAAATTGCTTTGCTGCAGGTAGCTAGACCATATTTAGGTTAAGGAAATTTGAAATTTAGAAACACTTCTAGGAAGATTGCAATAAAATGCGCAGAACTTATGCTTTTCACATCCACAATCATTTTTTTTCATGCAAGAAAATGGAATTAGCCACTTAGGGAAAAGCTATGTTGATCGTCTTATAAGTTAATTCCGAAGTAACCTAATTTAGATTAGTTTATTCCGTATGAGAGCATGAGCTACTACTTATTAGTTAATATAAGTTCATGTTTCTTCACTTACAATTTACAAAGGAAGTCTTTATATGCCCTTATAGATGATTATAGAGGAATTAAATGAAAGAGCATTTGAAAAAATGGAGATGTAGAATCTAATTTTATGTTTCTTCTCTTGCGGAGAAATCTTTATGAGGTTATAGATGTTTATGGAGAACTAAGATGCGAGATATTTTGGAAAAATTTAGGTGCAGACACTAGTTTCAATTTATACAAGAAGTTATTGTTATTTAAGATTTAGTTATTACAAGATTCTTTTGATACTTTTCTTCCTCATAAGTGCTTCCTGAGAACTTTATCCTAGTTTAGTGCAAATCTTTATGCACTGTAGTTCTGCCTAGCTTTTAATTTCAGTTCATAATGATAATGATACACTATGAATACCGTTTTTCATAGGTCAAATACTTGATTGCTTGCTTTGTAACTATTTGCATGTGGTGATGTGAGAAGTTGGTATTTCAAGTACCATTTCCATAACAAACAAATTGATACCACCCAGTTGTTTGTTTTTCCATGAGTTGGTTGTGTTGTCACGATGCTGCAGAAATAATGTTACTTCTCCTTTTGACTTGAAGTATTGGTTGCAATGTTATATGTTTTGAATTTCTGAGAGTAATTGTTTACCAGTTTGAAAAATCTCTCTGATATTTTCTTCACTTGTTATCCCTTGATTTGATTGTGATAATTGCAGGAACCGATGATGATCTTCCGCCAACTCATCAAAATAGAATTCCCAGGGGAGGACGTCTTTCCGAGAATGGAAGATCTGCCGTTGGTTCAATTCCATACCCCAGGGTGTATGGTATTGATATGGAAACCCAAATTCATCAACTTGAGCAGGAAGCATACAGTTCAGTTCTGAGAGCCTTTAAAGCTCAAGCTGATGCCATTACTTGATTCTTGTCTGGTTGTGTGAGCTATTTACTCTTATTAGGTATCCCACAACACTCACTACCTGATGTATGATTAGTCTAGCAGGTTACACTTCCATGCACGCAAACCGCACTTGCTGTACCGGACGAAGACAATTGCATGACAGTTTACTCGTCAAGTCAAAACCCTGAGTATGTACATTCTAATATAGCAAGTTGCCTTGGTATTCCTGAAAATAATGTTAGAGTAATTACAAGAAGAGTTGGTGAAGGTTATGGAGGGAAGAGCATGAAATTTATAGCTGTAAGTTCTTAGTTGTATTTAGAATGATTCTCTCTATTTAATATCATTGATACATTTTCCTTTGTGTAATACAAGTTGATCATTCTAAACTATTCAACTATACTATATGCTTTGACTTCTCCATTGTGTTTTTCGTGTCATGTCATTTGCAGGGTGCTGTATCTTGTGCACTTGCAGCGCACAAATTACAGCGGCTCCGACTCCGGCTCCATCGCCGGCTCCGACTCCATCGTTGGCTCCGACTCCATCACCTGCTCTGAATCCATTGCCAGTTCGAATCCCTCGGTTTCTTTAGCCTCGACCAGGACCAAGGCTAAATATTATGTTGGTTTACGGAGTTTGACTTTAGCCTCAGTCAGGCCCAGGCTATTTTTGTTTTTTGACACGGCTTCATCGAGGCTAATGTAGACACGGCTAAACCGAGGCTAATGTAGACACGACTAAACCGAGGCTACAGTAGACACGGCTCTTTTTGGCTGAGGCTAAATGTTAGCTTCGATCGTTTTAGCCTATCCCCGACACCGACGCTACGCCGAGGCTAATTGTCTAGTAGCGGCGGTTTTTTGCCTTATAGTGTCGGAAAATGGCCGAGGCTAAATACAACATTTCTAGTAGTGATCTTCTTCTGCAGAAAATGAAAAAATAAAGGAAATGCAGCAAGAAATTATTGCACTTAAAGAAAAAAATTCAAAAATGGATGAATTGATGGAGGCAATCACATTCTTAAAGCAAAGAGACAATGCTATGAAAGAAGAAATTGAAGTCTTAATGCAAATGCAAAATTCTAGTGGAAGACAAGTATATTATTTTGAAGAATTTAAAGTTAAAGCTTCGGAGTATTATTTTAAAGAATATTATTTTAATACAATTTTTTTCCAGGGATTGGAATCATCTACCGATGGTAGACGTTCATCTGAGTCTAGCTACCGAATTCCATAATGACATACTTTCTAGATTATGAACCTTCTTATTCATTTTTGGCACAACGATACTTATTGTTATAAGATTATGATTTGATATGTTTTCGGATTTTTGTATTACATGACATGAATATGGAACTTTCATTTTACATGATTATGAAACTCACGTTTTTTCGACATTATAATGTTTATTTGATATTAAGTTTTGGAATTAATTTTACTACGCTAAAAAGCGATAGGAAAAAATTTAAAAAAAAAACTATAAATAAAAATATTATTGTATAAATAATTTAAAGAAAAAATAATATAACTATTTTAGTAGATAATAATTTAAATAAAATAATATATTATATAACAATATAATACAATATATAAAAATTAATAATGAATCGTCAAGATATCAAATTCACGACAGTTTTAAACTGTCACAATCAACAATGGTAACAAAAATCAAAAGGATATTCACGACAGTATTTAATTGTTGTCATTTCCAATTTATGTCAGTTCCAACCAGTCGTGAAATAGAGTTCACGACAGTTTTAAACCGTCACAATCAACAATGAAAATAAAAATCAAAAGGTTAGTAACGACGATCTTTAACCGTCGCTATCTCCAGTTTAGGTCAGTTCAAGTCCGTCGTGAAATATAACGACGGTTGTGTGTGACGGTTTTTTCAACCGTCGCTAAACCGCCTGGGGACACACGTTTCTGCGACGGTACTACAACCGTCGTAGAATGTAATTGGTGGTGGTTTTAACCGTCGTAACCTGCCAAAATAACCGTCGCAATCCATCGTTTTTCTTGTAGTGATGCTACATGATTTGTGATGCATACTAATTGCATTTGGTACTGTTTTGTACTTCCGTTCATGTTTGCATTAAGTCTGTTCCTCATGGGAATGAACTTAATCTTGTATAATCAATAATTCATCCTTTGTTTCAACAATTTTTCTTCCCCTTTGGAAAATTATTAGCATCTTCCCATCTTGATGGATTAATCGAAACTTCGTTTCGATTAGTCGATCCTTCCTTTTTCCTTATCCTTTAGATCTTCTAGAGCTTTGTCCTCTCTTTTCCCCCATGGTGTTGAAGATTCACAACGCATTGAAGCACTGTACAAACTTGGCGTCGTTGTGTTGCCTGTTTCGTTTCTCGCACCGGACTTTGGTGTTAGAGAAGAAATGAGAGTGGAGAATTCCTACACTCATTCTGACTATTTTGGGTGGGGGTCGAATGACCCTGTGCCTAGAATAGTTGTTAGACGATGGCGTGGATCTAGAAGGGGGTTGAATAGATAGCTTGCTTAAAAAGTGTCGGCGCTACCAAATAAAATTGGTTTTTAAAAATTGTTTAATTTGCAAAAGTGTCCGAAGAACTATACCGTCTATAACGAACGGTTACTAGAAAACCGGATATGCGTCAAGTCTATGGAATCTGATAACGAGTAATGAGAATCACTACGTTATTCACACTATCAATTTGATTTAGCTCACTATGTGGTATGACTAGTCCCGATGCCTTAAAATCTCAACACAATATATGGACAACACACAAGGCTTTTGGTTCAGACAATTTATCAAACACTTGGCGTGCGAAGCACTACAAGTGAGTTCCGCTTTGAGTGAGTTGCTCAAGTTTCCTCATATAATCAATGATTGTACTAGATTTAAAATCAGTTTAGCACTAGTCAAAACAGACCTAGATTGATATAATTGTTTGCACTAAATCCACAAATATCAAGCAATGTAAATGTAAGGCAAAAGACACAACGATTTATTGAGGTAGTTCCCCCGTTGTCCTCGCTTCGGTGTATGTCTGCCCTCAATTCTAATAATAGAATTGAGACCTTATAATATAAATTTAACCTGTTGTAGAATTGTATATACGAGAATTGAATAGCAATCAAACAAACGAACACCCTTGTTGTTGTAGATGTTATCTCCTCTTGCCCCTTGATTCGAGTCGAATCAAGTCCTTTGACAGCTTGTGAATAAACCTCCGATTGCGGCTTTATGTTTGAACAACCTTCGGTCTTCAAAACCTGGCCCGACTGATTTCAATCACTCGCGTGTCGAACCTAAAAATCTCCTTCACAATCCTCCTCTTACCGTTACTAAATCAACGGAACCCATCGCTCCTTGATTACCTTCACTCGGCTGAATATGTATTGAGAAGAATCGTGCAAAACCCCTAAATTCAGAGAATCTTGGAGAACAAAACCCTAGAGGTTTTATTCAAGAAAAAACCTATCAATTCCTCAACCTGAACCAGATTACCCAATCAGTGGCTTCGAATGTTATCACCTTTAATAATGCATAATGCACAACAAAGATTATTGTATGTGATTATTGTGGTATGCTATGAAGAAGATGAAGATGATGAGAACTGAATTGGCACCTATTTCACTTTTCTTGTTTTTCTCAATTGATATGAAGTGAAAAGAGCAACTGAATATTTATACCAGACAAAACTATTATAACTGATAAGACCACTTTCCAAAAATAATAGACATAATATAAAAATAGAATAAAACAACGAGCGTTCGACCCATGTAGAGTGCAGGGTCGACCTAAGCTAACCCGAGGAAAAGATTGTGCAAAACACACAACCATGCATCGACCGGAACAAGGCATGCATCAACGCATATCCTGAATTTGTAGACAAATGAAAATGCCAACAGTATGAGTCGACCGGTAGGTCGACCAGAGCTAACCCGAAGAAAATGCAAGAGCTAGACACATATCATGAGTCGACCAGAGCAGAACTTTGGTCGACTCATAGACCTGAAATTACTACAAATGCCTAATTTCATACTTTTGACTCTCTTAGATTATACTTGTGATAGACCAATGACGTTTAACTCATATGACACATATTTTGACATCTCTATATGCAACACCCGAGATATTTTATGCAAGCAAATAAGTCATGAGAAACAAGGTATGCACATGCAACATGGTGATAACGCCCAACATCGGTTCTTCTATGAAGCTAGGTTTTGACATCATCGAAACAAGCATATCTTGTATATGAGGCTTTGCCTTCACATACTCCCCATTTTTTTATGATGGCAAAACACGTTGAACATGTTTGATGATATGCGGCATTATCCTCCCTCTTGCTTGATGCCTTCATTCCTACTTACTCATTTGTGTTAAATGCTACGTCTTCACTTTTGATCTTTATGGTTCTACTAAACTGCTTGACACTTTCTCCCCCTTTGACAACATCAAAAAGAAAGAAATCCATGTCAAGGAATGATAAAAAATAACAGATGCTCATATCAAAACACGTACAACAGGATAAACATTAACATACATCCACACATAACGCAGTTAATGAACAAGGAACAAATAGATAAATATTATCATGCATAGACAAAAATAGTAAGTTTTGCTAGAAAATACACACAAGAAATGACATATAAGTTTATGATTCATGACATAGATACATTAGATATCCTTAAAGCAAAGCAAGGAGCATAACAATGAAAACAAAATGATGAAACGCAATATGCAGAATGCATAGCCTTCAAGGTCTCCTCCCCCTGAAATGATGGCATCTCCCATGATACGGATATGGCGGAGGTAGTTAAGCATCCGCTCTTTCATTAAACTCCAAAACCGCTCTGTTCAAGGTATTGAAGCTTGTGGCAAGAGCTCGGTGCTGATTTGCGGTTGTTTCAACCAAACCATTGAATCATTGATTGACATTAGAGGAGAATGTGTTGAAATTTTTAGTATGTGTCTCAAATTGACTGTGAAGTTGCGAGAGACGCTCATCCTGAGCATTCATGAACGCACGTTGTTCTAGTTGCATAGACCTCATCATCTCAAGGAGTTCGTCAGAATTTTGTTGCGGCGGATTTGTTAAAATAGGAGGCTCTTGTTAGTACAATGATAGAGTATCGGGGTTTGTTATCGTCTCCACAGGGAATATGAGATATGGTCATCGTTCGACAGTTGTTAAGTTCTTAACTTATAGTAACAAGGGGGTCTTGGTTTTTCGTTACGGTAGCTTGCATAGGAAAAGTAATAAAAGCGGTAAAAGTTTAGGTTTTACGATTTGAGAAAGATTGTCAAAGTTAGGGTTCGACGATCACTTTGCATGTATATGTTCGATCAACAAAACTAGTAAACTCCGTTGGATGATAATCACATTCACAATATCCTCTCAATGTGTTTATTTCTAACACACATTGTGATTTTTCCCATTTTGATCCATTGTTGATTTCTCACACAATCTATCAAAATGACAACTTTTAGGGTTTGATATTTTAGTGAACAATCTCATTCAAGACTATCTCTAGCTCAAGAATATAGATGGATGAAAACCTAGGTA